GCAGCGTGCCACGGCCAGCGCGAAAAGCGCCTCAGCGCCTACAAACCTAACAGTGATACTTCACGCATTGCGCAATGCGTGAAGTATCCCGGTTAGGTTTGTAGGCGCTGGTGCGCGCTTATCGCTGGCAGCACGCCGCGCCGCTCCGCTCTGTGTTATGCTCCAATATAATCTTGCGGAGTCAACGTTTTTCAACTCATGGTTTTGAAATGTTTGCACATCCTGTATGGATTATTCTCATTTTAATTGATGAAAAAAGTATGTATTAAAGGAAAATATAATGTGTGTTTTGTGAATATTATATTGGTTCCGTATCAAACTTAATGATTTCCAAAGCGCACGAATTTCTACACAATTTCTTATAGCCTTTTATAGCCGATGGCGATAAAGTATAAAGCCCGGCGATAGGAACTATAGCCCAGCTGCATACTTTTTTATCGCTTCGTATAGCCCGGCTATATGATTTGCTCCGCTTTCTACAGCCAGCTAAATGATTTTCTATTGCTTTTTTTAGCCAGCTATAAGAATTCCTATGGTATTTTGAAACGCAGCTCCTATCGCCAATTTTTACCAGGGTTGGTCGGCTATCATGGAGCCCCGGCCCAATGTAAACAAACTCTAGCCCCTCCGCTCCTAGTTTGGCTCAATGTAAACAAACAAGATGGCGAAAAAGTTCTACAAAGTTCTAGACGTAATTTTGGGTGTGATAGGATTTTTTTTATATCCAACTTCTAAACTGAGTTCGGATCGAACTTTTATGAATATTTTTGCCGAAAATTAAGCTAATTGAGTGCGATTGTCATTAATTTCTCTGCCGATAATACATGTTCCTCTGGGTCAGGTTCGTTTACATTGGGCCAACTTTGGAGCTCCATGATAGCCTAAAACTGATGAACCAATCAGAGAGCGGCACTGGGATGGCAATACTCTCCCGTATACAGGTACTCTAGCTTCTTTTAAACTGTGCGACGGTGCTTCTTGGAGCGTTACGGTCCGCACGGTCCTTGGTCGCGGTTGGTGACGTCAGTAAATACAATCGGGGGATCGCTACCACCTCGTCTTTTTTTCTCTATGAATGAGAGTGCTCGCATGCCAATGTCGCTACCTTGAGGAACACAGGTGACCCCCGTGCGGGCAACGACCGGGATCCCCGAAACTCTTGTACTCGATTCGTCCTTTCCTGGACGAAAGAACGTAACCGCATCACAACGCTGCCAAATTTCCTCTCGAAAATTGTACTTTTATCGGGAAACCGTTCGGCGCTTCCTCTTAAAAAGTCCACTGATTTTCCATTTGGTCAAAGAGTACGTGTCTTGTTTTTTTTTTCAATTTGGGAAATCCTGATTTTTCCTTATTTTTGACTGCTAAATCCTGATTTCATAATTTTTCCAAATCCTGATCGAATCTTGATTTTTGGCGAAAGGCGAATGTAACTTCACAAAAGTAGCTCGATAAAAAAATCCGATCGGACGCCCGACTTTTCTCAAATCCTGATTTTACGACCGATTTTTCCTCAAATCCCGATGGAATCGGGTTTAAATCCTGATTGACCATAAATCCTCATAGAATCGAAAAAATCCTGATGCTAGACACCCTCATAAAATCAACGAAATTTTGAACGGAAATTGCACGGTTATAATCTGGTTAAATATTAAAATGTTAGTGTCAATTTGGCAACCTTGCGATGGATTTACGTTCTTTCGTCCGAGGAGCGACGAGTTCACACCATGCGACCGATCGTCAAACGCTTGATGGACGCCCGTGCGACGTCGCGTCAAATTAATTTGACGGTGCGGAACCCCCACAAAGAGTCTGATGAACAGTCTATAAACGATAGCGCGCCCAACCGCATTATTCGTTCGACTTTCGGCCCAGATTTTTTGGATAGGCGGAGGTGCCTATTTTTTTGTTTGATGCAAAATCGTTGCAATCGATGCAAAGTCGAAGTTTTTCTTGATCGTTATGGATCCAACACAATCTCGGTGGATACGAATTTATGTCAAATGTGAGGAGCAATAGGAAACCGCTCCAAGTAAAAAAATCTCTCTAAAAACTTTAATTTTAATTAAAAAACTCTTGCTATAACTGTTAAAAGAGCGACGCCAAAAACGACTGTTTTTTGGCACAATTTGGGCCAGAAGGGATTTTTCTGAAACCGGGCAGAAACGATACCTTATGATACCCTAAAACTCTGGTAAAAATTTTAGCTTGAGTATACGCACCGTTTTTGAGAAATGGGGGGGGGGGGCAAAGTTGCCAAATCGCCATCATTCTGGACAGCATTTTTACAGCAAAAAGACGGGAAAAATGGACGAAAAAGTTACACTATTGATGGGTTTGGGCTGTAAATGTTCTTATTGAGCCCCCGTGCATGTAACTGTGTTCAGTTTCAAAAATTTTGGACGTACAGTGGTCCAAAATGGGGAGAAATCGTGGACAGATAAGGATTCTTTGTCAAACTTTTTAAAAATGGAAGTAAAATTGTTGGTCTCCTGCAGAGATCATGTGAAACAATGTTCTTATCGGTCTTCAATGCATTCAATTGAGTTCAGTTTATCAAATTTTCATCGCACAATGGTCCAAAATGGGAAATCAGTGGACAAATTAAGATCTTCTGCCTAACTTTTTAAAAATGATGTACGACTATTGGTCCCCTGCAGAGATCATGGCGAACAATGTTCTTATCAATGCATTCAATTGGGTTCAGTTTATCAAATTTTCATCGCACAATGGTCCAAAATGGAAAATTAGTGGACAAATTAAGATCTTCTGTTGAAATTTTTGAAAAATAACATGAAACTATGAGGTTTTTCACTAGATTCGAAAGGTGTAAATTCAAAATAAGTTAGTAGCCAATAAAAGCTATCCATGTTCACTGTTTTGAACTGAACAAATGAGGTCTGGAAACGGTAATTCAGGAGGAACTTAGCTTTTGGATCCTTAAAATCCGGCTAACTGGGTGGTTTTTGTCCTAGTTAGTTGTCAGAGAATAATTGTAGTTAGAATAATACTTTACAATAAATCCTTTCTAAGGATTTAGGAAAGGTTAGGTTAGGTTAGGTTAGATTTCAACAGAAGATCTTAATTTGTCCACTGATTTCCCATTTTGGACCATTGTGCGATGAAAATTTGATAAACTGAACCCAATTGAATGCATTGATAAGAACATTGTTCCCCATGATCTCTGCAGGGGACCAATAGTCGTACATCATTTTTAAAAAGTTAGGCAGAAGATCTTAATTTGTCCACTGATTTCCCATTTTGGACCATTGTGCGATGAAAATTTGATAAACTGAACTCAATTGAATGCATTGAAGACCGATAAGAACATTGTTCCACATGATCTCTGCAGGAGACCAACAATTTTACTTCCATTTTTAAAAAGTTTGACAAAGAATCCTTATCTGTCCACGATTTCTCCCCATTTTGGACCACTGTACGTCCAAAATTTTTGAAACTGAACACAGTTACATGCACGGGGGCTCAATAAGAACATTTACAGCCCAAACCCATCAATAGTGTAACTTTTTCGTCCATTTTTCCCGTCTTTTTGCTGTAAAAATGCTGTCCAGAATGATGGCGATTTGGCAACTTTGCCCCCCCCCCCCATTTCTCAAAAACGGTGCGTATACTCAAGCTAAAATTTTTACCAGAGTTTTAGGGTATCATAAGGTATCATTTGGGCCCGGTTTCAGAAAAATCCCTTCTGGCCCAAATTGTGCCATTCTTGGCGTCGCTCTTTACAGAAAAGGAACCCGTTTTGGGATTGTTTTTACGTAAAATTTACAAAAGGTCAAATTTAAGTACAATAATTGTTTTTAAAAACTCTATAAAAACGTGATTATAAAGCTTTAATGTTACTTAAAAAACTCTTGCTAAAACTGTTAAAATTTACAGCGAAGGAACCCGTTTCATTTTTACGTAAAATTTACGAAAGGTCAAATTTAAGTACAATAATTGTTTTTAATAAACTCTTAAAAATAATAAACTAATTTTTAATACTTAAATTTTATACTTCAAAAAATTATTTTTAAAAATCACGTTTTTATAGAGATTCTCTTAACACTGGTTTTACTTCTTTTTTGTCTCTCATAATTGGAGAGACTCCTAAACAATCGTAAACTGACGTCAAACAAGATCTCGACAGCCAAACCCGCATCCTGCTGTGCGTCGAGCAGTTACTCCGTGACACGCACACAGTTCTTTATCACTTCGATACTGAAGCAAGTATACCTACGCACAGTTCACACAACCAGATCGTTTGAAACTCATTCATCAGTCGCACGCAGTGCCTGAGTTCACCGCTCACCGCTCTCGGCCCGAAGATGAAGATTCAAGGGGAGAAAAAACAATTTCACACGGACATCTGTCAACAACGTTTAACAACAGCAGATGAGAAGAGGAGTATCCTGGATCCAGGTTCCCAGGTAGGTGATTCAGAATGAGGGAACGACCTGTTGAGCGGCGCACAGTGGATCGAGTCAATTGCAGAAGTCGGACACGAGATTTTTTACTAAATCTGCAAAGTTTGATGTATAATTCAACGCATTTTTAATTTCAAGGGGTGCTTCAGCATGAAAACTTCACGAGGAAACCGATGGAACCACTTTACGAACCTTAAAGTTGTTTACAAACGGAGTTATAAGCGTTTAAAGTATCCAATTTTGTCCGACCTCTCCTAGTGACTCGGTCCACTGAATTTTTACTAAAACTGTAAATTGTGATGTTTATTTCGTCACATTTCCAATTTTAAGGGGTGCTTCTAAAGGAAAATTTCACGAGGAAACTAATGGAGCCACTTTCAAAACCTCAAAATTTCGTGTAAACGGAGTTACAAGCGTTAAAAGTTTCCAAATTTTGTCCGACCTCCCCTACTGACTCGATCCACTGTGCGGCGGAGGCGCGGAGCAGGTGGGGATACGCTGGGGGGACGGGGGATAGATGGGGGGGTGCAGGTAGGGGGCGGAGTGGATCGTCAGTGTGTATTTCTCCGTGGCGGCCGTAAACTCGGCGTCGGCAGTTGGCCCTGAGATGGCTCGAGGACCCGTGCGGGATGGAGTGCTTCGGACCGCGTTATCGTCGCCGAATTTCGAAACGGTTTCCGCTGTGAGTTCCTGAAATGCGTAATCTGAAGAACTCGCGTGATACGGGCCGGAGATAGTGATTCCTCGTGAAAATGGTGGCGCCGGACTACTGCTTGGAGCTGTGCAACATTTTCCACACGGGCCAGGTGAGTCACTATCGGTGCTCAAGTTCTTGGCTCGAGTGCCGTCGACGCTACGACTTGCCGGATGGATAGTCGCGGCCCACGGTGTATCCGAGTTAAGTCGGTCACTCCGGCCGAAGATATCATTGCTGACAATGGGTGCTGTCGCAATGGAACTGTTGTGGCGTCTTTGTGGCAGTCTTTCAGAATGAAATTGGTTTACCTGGATTAAAAAATCTGGCATCAAAACATTGCTTCATTGCAAAATTTCCGCCAGATTTGAACTATACAGGGTGCTCCAGGGTTTAACGGATAGACTGCAGGAGCGTGTTTAATGGGTCAAAATAAGACTTTTTTGTATTAAGTTTTTTATAAAAGTGCTCCCAGTCGCGATCGGAGCTATACGCCCCCAAATTTCGGAAAAACAGATAGTTTTTCCTACATTTTGGCAACAGTTGAGAACCAAATCTCATGAAAATTTGTACTTACCTGTACTTTTATACCCTGAATTCGTAAATTATCTAAATTAAAATCGAAATCTCAATTTACAACAAAAAAGTCTATTTTTGACCCATAGAACACGCTCCTGCGGTCTGGCCGTTAAACCTGGATCACCCTGTATAGTTAAGGATAAGACATCGATCAGAGTTCGAGATGCCATTCGAACTATGACAAGTTCTGTATAAGCCCTGATGAGGTCAATAATTTTATCCTGAGACAAAGTAAGCGGGATTTCAGTCCCAAGCCCGGGATCGAATTGGCTCTAAAATGTTGGAGGTAGGTACAGCCTACCGAGTAAATAGTTTGATAATCCGTCTCGGACCTTACGAAGAAGCGCTAGCTATTCAAAACGCTTGAGATTTATTTAGAACCTTCAATTTTAAGAATTTTCCGGGCGAGGCTCCCAAATCCCCCGTTTTCCAGCTGAGAGGGGAGGGGGGTGGGGTTCCCCTCCAAGCTCCCAAGGGCCCGTCGCTTTATAGTTAGTTCCGGAGCCCATATTAAGTTTGGGTATGGCCCCGCACCTAAATGTACGACCAGAAGAGAAATTATCATTCAGACCACGAAATTATCTGTAAAAGTCTTAAAATTTCTGAAAACGGCCCTCAAATGTTTGCTTTGTCAAGAGTTCAGAGTTGACAAGAAATTGCAAAACTGAACTCAAAGATTGACATTTCTTGGAGCCAGTATGGCAAACTGGACAACTTGGCTGTTGGACTTTGCCAAAGCGGATAGTTTTGATGGACCATTGAATTTTCAAAAAAATTTCGGTCTACGTGAAAAATCGCTGCAACATTGGTAGGAAATGCCTAACGTAATTTGCTCGGCAATACTGCATTTCTCGATAATAATAAATTCACATTGAGACGCAACATTGCGGTAATATTTTTATGGCAACGTTGCCAGTAATATTTTCAATGTTGTGTCGTGCTGGAAAATGGCCTGTCAATAATATTTTTTGGAAAAATATATTTGCAACCAAATGTAAAACTTCGGAAGCACGTTAAAATTACGCCACAATTTGTTGGGTCGCCACAATGAGACATGCCTTGCAATATTTTTATGTGTTTTGCACCTGATTATCTCGGAAATATTGCTGTAACAGTTGGCTTGAACAACCAGAATACCTACACCAGTCCTATGAGCTACGCGTATGGCAACACTATTACAAAGCTGCGTCACATTGAGACTATATATAACTATATAAACCGTACTAATTATCCCTCGTTCCAATCAAGAATCCTGTTCACAATGTGAGCCTTCATTTTACAAGGTATGCAACGCGGATCCCTCGAGTGTTCGAATAGCGGTATTCAAGCGCCTGCGTGCGCTCACGTTCTGTCGTTGCATATGTGAGGTCTACAATTTGGAGATAGGTCTTTGTACATGAGTCGTTTACTTTTCAGAACATTTTATGAGCGCGCACAAATTGTTGTCCAACGCGGCATTCATGATATTCGTCGTTTTCACTGGAAAAAACCTCATTAGTCGGATAACACAGCGTCTCACGTTTTTCTATTTACGACCCGCCGACCTGCCCAGAAGATACGTGTTCCTGTTTCCTTCCTTGTCTGATTTTATGGGCATGCATTCCCAATTTTTCATGATGATACTTCATTCGCAGACAATATTGAGCGATTGTACTGGACAGTCAACCTGCCATGCTAGTGAAGAAAATACATACATTAAGCCGCTTTCACAGCGCAGCCTCGCGCTCTGCGACGCCCAATCGCCATTCCCCCTATCCTCCCTTGAGATCATCAGGCAACTATTTGTACTTGCACCATCTGATCTCCTCCTCCACCCCATATCGCCAACCTTTCACGGGACGTCCACGCCGACGCCTTCCTTGTGAAGGAAATACGGGTGGAAATTTTTCAACGTCGTAATTCAGCAAGTATTAATGTGAAACACATTGTTTGAAATGACCCGAAGAACTCCGCAAGGAACACAACGAATCACTCCAGTTTCATTTTACAACATATATCGCGGGTGGATATCGACGGTGAAACTACCAAACCACGTATCTCGTTTGCGGTGTTTAAAAATCTACGCTCGCATTTTATTTTTTTGAAGTAGACCAAATCAATACCATTCCTTGAAATTTTCACAGAATTTTCTCCGCACGAAGAGGAAAAATCACAGAAATTTTCAAGACTGGACGTTAAGTAGTTTTTCATTTAAAAAATGAAGTATGACAGGAAGTCTGCGACGTCGCAAACCGAGGATACGTGGTTTGGTAGTTTCACCGTCGATATGCTTTAAAATACTTATATCACGGTGGAGCTGGACCGTGTTCAATCAAGCTGAATTATAAAAATTAAAAAACAGAATGAATACAATTAAATTAGACTAAATTTTGCAATTAGGAGCCACAATTTCATCCGTAAAAGCACTATAGGTGCGTAGGGTATAGCTAATGGAACATACTTTGTTTCTGAACTGAGCCAGAAATTGTAGTTTCCACTTGCAAAATGTAGTCCAATTAGAACATTGGTGGCACAAAATATGCGGCTCTCATCGGCGTACCTGGACCAGTTTAACCTTTTTTCTTCTTCTGGTGGGTGAAATAGACATTTCTTCGCTGATAAAATTAGATTGATGTAAGTATCATAATCACAAAGAGCTAACTAGCTAGCGTTTAAAATTAACGGTGAAAATTCTAAAAGGCTTGATTTATATCCTTATGTTCCGCACTACCTGTCCCCAACACACGTTTAACATTCTTTTATTTCTTTTAACACTCAAAACACTTCGTTCTAAAGGCACGCGTAATTTTTCAGGTAGAGTCGGCATCATGTTTGCAGCGGTTGTTTGGCAATGTCCAAACAGGCCTCATCCTCAAAGATGTCTCTCTCGAAGTCCGTGCAGGGGAAGTGCTGGCAATTTTAGGTTCTAAAGGTGAGAGTTTCTTCATAATACACTGCAAGTAAATTGGCACCCCGTTTCACAGGAAACTCCATTTGAAAGGCTTGGAAGATAGGGCGCGTAAGTTATTTAGTACTGCCGTGCTAAGGAGGAACGCCGCGCCGTATGATCAATCAGGAGTTGTCAAAGTTCCCTTGGTAAAACATGCATTTTTGACGACATTCAAGCATATTTTTCCTTGAAATTTTCAGATATTTTAGATTTATCAGTGCGGCCGGCGTGGGGCAAGCGCGCACGGCGCGGAACGCATAATGGCGCCTTACAAGACCGCAGGATACTTCATGCATTGCGCGCACAGCACGGTGCGCCGTGCGTGCGGAGCATGGTGGCGCCTTACAAGTCTGCAAGATACTTCATGCATTGCGCGTATACCACGGTGCGTTCTCAAGTCGTTGAAAAGTCGTATGTTCTTGGTGTTGAGCCCCGGTTCCGGTGCACATCATTTCCGAACAGTCCACACTCCGAGCTTGCATTCCAAGATTACACTGACGTGTTGAGAAAAAACGCCGTATAAACATTCGAGAGTTGCCAAATTTCCTCCGATAAAACATGTAATTTTGACGAAATTTGTGCATATTTTTCCTTGAAACTGTCAGATATTTTAGATTAAATTGCGTGAAACATTGTCTGAAAAACTTGAATTTTTTTTTTCACAATTTGCCCAGTAAAGTCGGGTTTTATCGAAGGAGACTTGGCAACGTTTAAAGGCTCATACGGCGTTCTTCCTCAGCACGGCAGTATAGGGAGGATGAGCAAAACGTCGTTACTATACGGCTACCACCTGCTTTGCCAGCAGCCTTAGTTATTTGATAGAATGCAGCTTCCAAGTCTATTCTCTCCAATGCAGGGCTGTATGAACTGGGGTGCTACAGCATCCCCCCTCCCTTCACCTACGGGCGCTTATTGCAACAAATTATTCTACATCCTGTAGGGGTCTCTAGAGTCTGAAAGACGGATTTAGAGGGGCCCTAAGACTGGAATTTCGGGTGTCATGAGGCCTCTAAATTTTAGGATTTGGGACCCCTGCCTGATGAAATCTCCCCGGGCCCTTAAGCGTCTATCCGACCCTGCTCCAATGCGAATCTATATTCGTTCCAATGATTCGACGATGTAAGGCCTTGTCTCCAAGAGCCGTTTCACGAGATTTGTCCCAGGGAAAAATCCCCCTTTCGAAGTTGGGAAAAATATTGAGTTAATCAATATTTTTCCCAGTATCATGTATGGTACTTGTACTGTACCCCTAGGACCCACTGAGAGAAGAAGAAGAAGTGAAAACGAATTGTGCGATATTTTATTCATTACTACATTGTTAACGTTTGTTTAGTTAAAATAATGTGTCTAATTGTCAATTGAATGCATTTATTATTATAATACCGGTTAAATAATCGACTTTAACTACTTTATCTTTCCGCGCAAACTAGTCGCGGGACTGTATGAGCCCCATCCCGTGGAGACTGTAACTGGGAAAAATCCCAGAAGTTTCATTCCTGCGATTCGAACTTGGGACAAATCCCGTGAAAACGTCTCCTGGAGACAAGGCCTAACTACGGTCTCTTCAAACATTATTTGCCTCGGCCTGATTCATGCGTGAAAGGTTTCAGGAAGTGGAAAGCGAGCACTGCTGGAAGTGATATCCCGGCGAAGCAGCGGTCCTACGCGTGGCCAAATCCTCCTCGACGGTGCGCCCCTCACCCTTAGTCTATTCCAGAGGAGCTGTAGCTATGTCAGTCCTAGAAATGATCTCATACCTTCGCTAACGGTCGAACAAACGCTTTACTATGCCTCTCACCTTACGCTCGGCTCTCAGGTAACTATTCGTCTAAAACTATTCTCTCTTCACTCTAACAAATACATAAACGCAATGGAGTCAGACAGAAACACTGAAAAAAAAGTTCTGTTGTCACAAACGAGAATTTCTGGTTGTATTTCGCAACCAGATTTTCCGGTTGATTTAACCAGAATTACAGTTGACTCAGCCAGAATTATGTAGAGTTAACCAGACGTCTGGTTGAGTCAACTGTAATTCTGGTTGAATCAACCGGAAAATCTGGTTGCGAAATACAACCAGGAATTCTCGTTTGTGACAACAGAACTTTTTTTCAGTGAACCCCCTCAAGGCGGATACTCTAGCTGTCTGACGCAGCGGAAAAGCTTATATTAGGGACCAAAAATACAGATTTTCAGTTTTTATTGGCATTTCAATGTTAGACGCTTTCCCATTCCCTCAAGAACAACTGCTAAATTTTAGGGAACTATTTGGATAATTAATGGTGCTGTAAGTGTTTGAAACGTTCGTTTCCAAAGCCGGTAACAGCATGGGCCACATTGGCTAGTGTTTCTCTCAAATTCACAATTTATCGTTCTCTGTGATTGAAATCTGCTCTCAGGAGGTCAATTTTTGAAATTTCCGGGAGATCTTACTGCCCAAATAAGGTTTACTAAAATCCTATTTAATGGTACCGGGCCTCCCCCCCCCTCCAGAGGGCTATTATAGCCACGTAAGAAAGGTGTGATTGTAGTACCATAGCCGCTCAATGTCAGTAGACTCTCGTCAACAGTAAAAGAGTTGCTCTCCTCCCCCGCAGACGATTCTTACAAATAGCAATAATTGGACCGCGTTAAACAGAAAGGAACCAAGCCACATCAGCTATTGCCAAATTTAATCGGGAAATTTAATTGTTCACATGAAAACAGTTGTACGGATTTTTGTGCAAATTTCTATGGATTTTCTCCATAATACAAAGTAAATTTCTTAAAATTTTCAAAGGAATCCGCGCAAACGTCCTCTCATAAAAAATTGAATTCCCCTGTTAAATTTGGCAATAGCTGATGTGGCTTGGTTCCTTTCTGTTTAACGCGGTCCAATTAAACTGTGGATCAGATGCATAAAACTGAAGGAATACGTTGTTACATTTTTTTCATTTTTTAGGAAATACGTTTCTATTGATGTTTTTTTTTTTTTTTATATTTTTTTCCTTAATAGGCTTCACAGTACATTCGCACCTCACGAATACGGCAAGTTATGGCCGATTTGGCGTTAAGCCAAGTGGCCAAGAGGACGGTTGCTCAGCTCACTCCGAGCGAACATCGGAGACTGATCATCGGGATTCAGATGATTAAAGACCCACGTAAGATTTCAGCATCATCTTCTAAAATTTCTGAATAAGAAAATTCTATTAACTTTTCTTATCAAAAATTGCATGTTTCTCCGAGAAATCTGAGAAATACTCTGTAGAGTTTCTCGAGAATCTTGCGACACACTTGGAAAATAATAGAAATCCATGGAAAGTCCAAAACAACCCAAAAACAAAGAAAATCGTCCCTTTATATTGTCACAAGAAGATAAAATGGCTTATAAGCTTCTTGAGTAGTATTTTGATTTATGTACGGTCGCGCAACTTACAAGGGGAGTCTACGAAGTGACATCCTGGGATTGGGTTCATTTTGCTTGTACATGAAGAAGAGACAAATCTAAGGTTGACGTATTTTTTTTTAGCCGCCACCTCCCAACCGTTCTCGAGATATCGATTTTTAAAGTTACGATTTTTGCACGTTTCCGCGCGAAGTTTCGGCGAGTCAACTGAGCGCCGGCAAGCTGCACGAAGCGCGTTTCCTATCAGTGCTGCAGACCGGCCGAGCATATCAACTGTTCCGTGGCCGAGTGGTAGAGAGTTCGCCTACCGTTCCATTGATCGCGGATTCGAATCCCGCCTCGTGCCGTAGCTTTTAGGGTTCGCCGCACTGCGTTTTTACAAGTTTTCTTCATTTTTATCACACATCAAGAGGTCCGCCCCCTGGCCGCTACGCGGCCCAACCCCCGGGGCGAAAAGGCCCGCTTCGCGGCAAGCGAACTCATCGAAATCGACCGTTGACGGTTGCAAATTTAGAGTAAGGAAAAAGTCATTAAGAATATTGTGTGATGGGAAATTTTTATTTGAAACATCATTTTATCATTCAATTAAAATTATTTACCCAGTAACCGTCAACGGTCGATTTCGATGATTTCGCTTGCCGCGAAGCGGGCCTTTTCGCCCCGGTGGTTGGGCCGCGTAGCGGCCAGGGGGCGGACCCCTTGGTGTGTGATAAAAATGAAGAAAACTTGTAAAAAAGCATTGCGGCGAACCCCAAAAGCTACGGCACGAAGCGGGACTCGAACCCGCGATCAATGGAACGGCAGGCGAACATTTTACTACTCGGCCACGGAACAGTCGATAAGGACGGCCGGTCTGCAGCACTGATAGGAAACGCGCTTCGTGTAGCTTGCCGGCGCTCAGTTGACTCGCCGAAACTCCGCGCGGAAACGTGCAAAAATCGTAACTTTAAAAATCGATATCTCGAGAACGGTTGGGAGGTGGCGGCTAAAAAAAAATATGTCAACCTTAGATTTGTCTCTTCTTCATGTACAAGCAAAATGAACCCAATCCCAGGATGTCACTTCGTAGACTCCCCTTGTTAGGTTAGCGCCTTGATGCAACTATTCGTGTTCGACGGTCGCCTGGGTTGCATGTTTTGGAAAATGAAGGCGCGCTGACTTTTTGACCGTCGCGGAGACGCGGGACGCGGCAGATGACTCTCCTTTCCATAACGCCCCAATTCGCTGTGGCCTCACTATACATGGGCTGACGTAGGTCTCCCTCCCCCATGTCACGTCCTCTTTCCTCCTGTCAACCTCCTTTAAAATAACTTGTGTACCCATCTTTCCGGGTACCTGACGTCATTTGCAGACGTGACCCCATCATGAGAAGCCAGAACGCCTTCATTTTTTCGTCATGTAATATGGACAACTGCTGAGTGCAAACAATGGAGATGTTGCATGTGTGAGGAATTTGTGATTTGACCATTGATTCTTAAGTAAAAATTCGCGAGAAACACGATGTTGCCACTAGTTTTCTCTGAAATAACTCCCAAGCTCAAAAAAAGCTCTCAAGTTGAGGCCAAAATGGAGGGGATATCCCACCCTATCCCGAGAATCCACCTCTACATCAAGAAAAACTCTCCATGCGAAGATAGGGAGCAAATACATTGGCAGGGTTGCCGTGTTCTCAGTTTTGTAGTCCCCAAATAAAGTGGCAACCCTGCTGATGTATTTGCTCCCTATCTTTGCATGGAGAGTTTGTTTTGATGTAGATGTGGACTCTCAGGCTAGGGTGGGATATCCCCTCCATTTCGGCCTCATTTTGAGAGCTTTTTTGAGCTTGGGAAATGATTTCAGAGAAAACCAGTGGCAACATCGTGTTTCTTGCCAACTTTTACATAAGAATCAATGGTCAAATCGCAAATCCCTCACACATGCAACATCTCCATTGTTGTCGCCTCCCTATCCGTAAGCTGACAGGTAGGGCGCGACCCCATCATGAGAAGCCGGAACGCCTTCATTTTTCCATCATGCAACACGAACGACTGTTGAGCCCCAATAGTTGCGTCCGGTCATGATACGTCACGTCATAGCATTGAGTCATCATGTTTCTCACGATTAGCTGCATAACTCGCATTGGATCCTTGCTGTCTGTTGAACTTGGTTTGACTTTCCCACGGATGCATTGACGAGCTGACTCCATGGCTTTGTGATGTCACCAATTGAATGGTCATTTCCGTTTTGCAGTGGTGATGCTGCTGGACGAGCCGACGGTGGGCTTGGACCCTCTGTCGACGTACCTGATCGTTTCGATGCTTTCGAGTCACGCTCGGCGGCGCGGGCGGGCCGTGATCCTGACGATGGAGAAGCCCAGGTCGGACGTGTTCCCGTTCCTCGACCGGGCCGCCTACCTCTGTCTCGGGGACCTCGTCTACGCTGGACCCACCCGACTCATGCTCGAGTACTTCCGTGCCATCGGCTTCCCTTGCCCTGAGCTCGAGAACCCCCTCATGTACTACTGTGAGTTCCACTTCCTATATCGTACCATACCTCAGTGATGTCATCCCCCTCCCCCCAGATACTTGACGAGCTCCCCCTATTTTATTACTTTGCACCCCCTCCCCTCAAAACAGTCGCGGATCGCCAGGGAGTGCGCGTAGGTACTCCTACCAGTGGAATTGAGGGGGTGGGGTCNGGGGGGGGGGGGCTTCCCCCGAAAAATTTTGGCAATTTGATGCTCTCTACAGGTAATTTGAGGCTATAATCAGCAGTTTTGTCTCCGTCTCCACCGCAGAAATTTGTTTAGATTTCCTGTGTAAATATATCATAAAAAAAAAAAAAAATTAAGCGAAACTTTTTTTTACAGAAAAACGAGGGGGAGGGGGGAGAAGAAAGATGGTCGGGCATGAAGGATTGGGGAGAAAAGAAAAATGGGAGGGATAAAAGGAGAAAGGGGGTGGAGGAGAATATCACCGACGGAAAACAGGTAACACTTCGGTGGATTTACGCTAACTGCCCATAAAAAAGGTGCCCCCCCCCCCAATTTTAAACTTGACGAGTTGCTCGTCTGCAAACGTGGCTACTGACACCACTGACATACCTAGTAAGGACGACTGTCATGCAACCTCACATACTTTAGTTCACAGTACCTGCTAAGTTCAGTGCTAAATTCTCATTCCAGTATGTCTTTCGACGGTGGATCGGCGATCCAGGGAGAGGTTCATAGAGTCGAATACGCAGATCATAACCTTGGTGGAGAAATTCAAGACTGGTGGCGGCCCGTACCGTAAATCATCTTCCGGCTCGCACCACAACCACCTGCTTCACAGCCATTCCCGGGATTCAATGGCGACGCTTCCCATGCCCCTCCCCTCTATGTCGCAGAAAATGGCCGCCCCTATCTACAGCCGTCCGTCCTCGCTTCATGTGGGATTCGTTCTCTATCAGTAAGTCATAAGCAGAATTTCAAGCCATGTTAGTTTTACATTGCACCGCCGGGAACTGACAGCTAAAGACTCGCGATGAATTCGTTCTATCCGATCGCCGAATGCTCATTTTCGAAAACCCATGTCATATTCATTATTTTCCCTTTAGAATACACGATTTTCATGAGTTTTGCTTAGCCCATTGCGAGAGCCTAGTGCATCACCGAGTGCCCCTTTTCCCGTGGCAAAAGAGCAAAACGGCACACGGAATTATGCCTATCACCCATGTTTAATATAATTTCTTTAAGAAATCTGCTTCAATTTTTTGCTTGCGCAGATTTATCAAGTTGAAAAACGATATCTACGCAACTGGACGTGTTTTCTTATAAATGGATTAAAATTGTCTCGTGTG